CAGGTCAGAGCCCGCCCTCTGTCAGAGGAAATATCCACCCTCCTGAGCTTTTCAAGAGATTGTTTTCTTCCAAGTAGGTCCCACCGTTACCGTGGCAACTAAGAGCCCTGAGCTTTGTGTTTCTGTGTCTATTGAGTCCCTGGGGAGAAGTGGCCTGCGGAGCTTTCTCTCGTCTGGTCAGGATGCAGGAAGTGCTAGCCAGAAGTGGATCCTCCCAGCCCCATTTAGGGGGTAATCTCTTGCCTCCTTAATGCCTGTCCTTATCCCTGGGGAGAGGCCAAGGCTCCACAGGAGTCAGTTCTGGTGGTCAAGTTTAAAGGCTTAGGCTCCAATGATCTGGTTTCTCAGGGCCGGAATTCTGCATCCATCCTATGGCACATCTCTTTCAAAAGGTGCAATCTGAGGGCACCTGGGTGGCTCAATGGGTTGAGTTGCCTCCCTTTGGCTCAGGTCATGATCCCGGGGTCCTGGGATCCAGTCCTGCAGCAGGCTCCCTGCTCAGCGGGGAGCCTGCTTCTCCTCCCTCTGCCCACCGCTCCTCTTGCTTGTGCTCTCTCTCTCTCTCAAATAAATAAAATCTTTTTAAAAAAATGCAATCTGAGCAGGTGTCCAGGAGGGGCGAACTCACACCAGACCACGGCACATGCTGGGGGACTGTTGCACAAATATTTCTTGATCACTTACTATGGGCTAGTACGGGATCTCCAGGCTGGTTTCTGCTCCGGGGAGCTCTAAGGGAAGGCTCAAAACCAAACTGGCCATTAAATGTCGCCAGGGATAGTTGTCCCCAAGGCTCTTTTCTGCAGGAGGCTAGGCATTAGCACTGCCTAGGGAGCTTTTTAGAAACAGAAATTCCTGGAGATTCTGATTCCACCAGTGTGGGTGTGAGTGGAGGGTGGAGGTTAAGAGTTCTGGGTGTCAAACCACTGGAGTTCACAGTCGAACTCAAGTGAGTGACCTTGAGCTGTCAGTTCCTCACAGAATGAATGATGAGAAGGAACAGTGGGGCCTGCTTCACCGGCAGCAAGATGTTCTCTGCCTTCCTCCACCCCTTGGCAACAGGGTGTTTTGTTTTGTTTTGTTTTTAATCCAGCAGCCCATTTATTCACTCAAGCTATGTATCAAGCTAGGTTTGAGATCCTACTGTGTACCCAGCCTTGTGCTGGGCACCAGGGACCCCACAGTGACTAGACAGATGAGGAAGCTGTAGCCTGAATAGGAATGGGACTCATGCAGGTTCCAGATGGAGTCCGTGGCGGGGCCAGACTGGAATGCTGGGCTCTTCCCCTAGACTCACAGGGCTTGTGACTGCGGGGGTGTGGGGCAAGGCTCACCCCACTCTTATTTTCCCCCACCTGCTCTGATGGGCCACGACACAATCTGGGCTCGCCTATCCCTACCTGTGATGGCATGAGAAATTCTGGGGGTGCTAGAGACCTTATCTGGCCCCCCCTCCGAAGCAGAATGGGCAGCCCCGGGGCTCACTGAGATAGCCCATGGTGCCACAGCCCCGTCCCTCCCCGAGAAGGGGCAGTCAGCCACACACTCACACATACTCGTCACCTTAAACTCGGGCCCTTAAACTCGGCAGGCCCTTCCCTGATGGGTGGAGCTTGCCCCCTGGCTGTTCTCCCAGAGCCTCCAGAGACAGTGGCCCTGATGCGTAGATCTGGCTGCTTTGGCAAAGACCCAGAATCCAGTCAGGTTGAGACTTGAGCTCCTCAAGGGGCTTCCTTGGGATGGGCATGGTGTATTAGAGGTGAGAGGGTATGGCTTTGGGGGTCACAAAGACCCGAGTCCCCCCATGGAACCTAATATCGCTGAGATTCAGATCCGTCAGCTCTCAAAGGAGACACGTTATCTGCTGCATTGACTTGTTGTGGGAATGAAATGAGATTTGTTGGCAAAAGTGCCTGGTACACGGTCAGAAACATGCCGGTTCCCCGCCCCCCTTCCTTTCTCTTCCTCCCTCCCTCCCTCCCTCTTAAAGGGGCAAAGCAGATGTGCTTCTGAAACCGGGCTTTCTCTCTCATTGTGCTCCTGGAAGCTGGGGCGGGGGGAGGGTGGGCAGGACAGGGTGGACAGGCAGATCCAGGAAGCAGTAGGACCAAGGGAGTGGAGGCGGAGAGAGCTGACTACTGGGCAGCCGGGGAGCTGTGGAAAAGCTACTTTGCCCCTGTAAACCTTGGGCGATGTCAAAAACACTGGTACCTCCATAAACATTCCCACCCACTGTCCCGGGGGTGGGGGGGAAATTCCAGTTCATAGCTGGGAAACGTTAGCAAATCCAAGAATGGGATTCTGTTTCTTCTGACCCCGGAGTCTGTGAGGAGCCCTGAAATCTTGCTGGGAGGATCTCTGCTGAACTGCTCTGGGCAAGTGTATTTAAAATTCGTCAGCAGCAAGCTCAGTCGTGTCCGGTAGCACCACCTAGTGCCCCAAAGTGGAAGGGCCCTCCCGCCTCACCACCCCCCTCCCTTCTATGTCCTCTGTGTGCGCGCGCGCGAGTGTGTTGGGGGCCAGGAGAGGTGCCGTTATAGAATGATAGGACTGGGCCACTCATACTTTCATATCCCAGGATGCGGAGAACTAATGCTGTTTTTCAAGATAACTAGTCTTTTTACCTCCCTCCCTCCCAACAACTGCCATCCCCAAGTGCGCAGGACTCTAGGTAGGTCCCTTGGGCCTTGCTGGGCCTCAGTTTCCTCATCTAAGGATTGCAAGGCTTCAGGCTAGGGCTGATTCAGGCAAGGTGCCTGGGAAATGATCTCTGATGCCTAGGGAGTGCTCATCTATGTTTGCTCAATAACCCAGAGAGACGCAGTCTTTACACACCCTTTATATTTTTATTGAGGAGAAAGCTTTAGCATACAGAACGATTTCTTATCTTCACAACACAGTGATGCAACAATAACACGATAACAATAACACATTTGTTTCAAACGGGTTTCCTCCGAGTCTCTGGGAATCCTTGGGCTGCCTTCATATCCCTGGCATGCATTTCCCCCCCCCACCCCCCACCCCCGCTTTCAACCCAAGAGAGCACCCAAAGCCCATAGTTCTTCTTACAGCTCTTGTGGCTGTTACATCACAACAAATATTAAAGATCCGGGAAAGGTGGGGGAAGAGGGTCAAAGGGAAGCCCAAGCCCCCCCTGCCACCAGAGGGCCAGAAACCAGCTCACTGCTCATCCGCTCTTTCCCCGGCTGAGGCTACAAGGGCTCAGGGTGAGAGGCACCACGGGAACAGCAGGGCCTGTGCTGAAGGGTCCCTGGAGGTCGGGGTGCAAGGCACCTGTCCTTTGCACTTCTCCGGCAGGGACGTGGGCAGCAGGGCCAGCGTGTCGACCGTCAGCAAACAGGGTCCACAGCCTAGAAGGAGAGCCGTTCCCCTTCTGGAACTCTCTCCTGAGGAAATAGCTGAAAAACAGACAAAATTTTCTTTATGCGGTTGTTGACCACTGTACCGATGGGAATGGAGAACACCAGGCAACTGAAATGTCCAACAAATCAGGAGACTGCTTAAATAAATTATTCAGTATGCATGACTGCCTAGGTGGCAGCCATTTTAAATCCTGCTGATCAAGAGCTTACAGCATGATCTCAGCTTTGAAAAGACAGAGGGAGAACATGCTAGAAGGGCATCAAAGTGTTAACAGTACACGCGTCTGTGTGGCCGGATTCTGGATGTCTGGGGGTGTTTTGGCCTTAACAGTTTTCTCTACTTTCCAAATTTTCCATTGTGATTATCTATTACTTTTCTCCTTGGAGGAGGGGGGAGCCTTTTTAAAAGGTAGCAACAGGTTCTAGGAACCCGGCTCCACGGATTCCCCAGGCTGAGAAGCGCGTTATAAACAAAAGGGGCTTCTTACCTCCCACTGATGAATAGAGACCTCACCAGAAACCAGCCAGAGGACTGGGTTTCTCTGTGACTCCTCTTCCTTCAGCTCCTTCCGCTTGCCTCCAGGCTCAAAATCCTAAGGCTGGGCTGAGGTTATCTGTCAGACTCCGGTGAGGAACAGAGGCATCATTTACTATGTTTTCTTCCCTCTAGCCACAGACACTTTGGCTGCACTTGTCCAGCTGCCAGGCACTGTGCAGGAAGCTCAGTGTGGAGGGCAGTTCGGGCCAGCAGCGGATCTGGCTGCCATTCTGGGGCCAGACTGACATAGTGTATGTTTTTCACTGCCGAAGCAGTGTTTTCTGGACCCGAGACAAGCAGCAGGACTCTTTATGGGCGGCCCTGGGTTCGTACCCAGACGTCCCCGGAGTTATTAGGAGGCAGTCACCCTCTTAAGCCTCAGTGTCTAATCGAAGCCCAGCACCGGGCCATGGCTTGCCCCCCGCCCCCCATGTGAGAAACATGAGGACGTCCCAGCTGCAAGGCTGTAGACAGAACCTTCCTCTCTCCTCTCAGAACCAAGGAATCCTTGAAGTCGAAGTTAAAGAGCAGGCCTCGGGCCTTCTCTCTCTCTGGCAGTCCAGGAAAGAAAGGCCAGTCGGGCCTCCTCTGGCACCCCAAGGATGGCGAGTCTCCTGCAAAGGCCTTTGGCTGGGGGCTGCAGTCCAAGGCCCGGCCGGGGAAGGAGACCACCGTCCCTAAGGAAAGAGTCACTCCTTACAATGTCAAGCTGAGTTGTTGCTGCGGCTGCCTCCTTCTCCTCCCCCTCCTCTTACTCCCCCTCCGCTCCCCCTCCTCCTCCCTTTAGGCAACATCCAGAGAAGGGTTAGAGCCTGTAACCTTGGGCTCTGTCTGCTGGGGATGCCCGGGAAGGCAGTGTGGTGAGAGGAGAGGGTCCCGGGCTCGGCGAGCTGGTCCAGGGGCCCTGATGCAGGGGTCTGTGGGCCGGAGGAGCCAGCTTGCTGGGTCAGTCAAGAGCCCATCTCAGCCGTGTTGTCCGTTTCACATGTGACTTTGCACACACTCACTGGGCTGGACGCGGGGGTTCTCTTCGGGGCCCTTCTGCTGGGGGGGGGGCGGGGGCTTGAAGCAAATGTCGGCTTCTCGTACATCTCTTGATACCATCCTGCTCTCTGTCGATTGTATCGAGTCAGTGGCCTCAATGGCTTTAGGAGTTCGGCGTAGCCTGTCCTTTCGCTCGTGGGGGCAGATCAGTGAGGCATTGGGTGCAGTCCTGGTGAACCAGTCCGAGGATAAAACCGTAGAACACAGGGTGACTAAACGCAGGAGAGGTGAGGGTTAGGAACAACCAGAGGGGAAATTACAAGAGGGCGACCAGTTCTTTTATGGGAACAGGCCAGAAACCTGCTCTCTAGCTCGTGGCAAGACTGAGCAGAGCGCACTCCAGGAGGACAGCTACTGCTGATCCCTTCTTTCTCGGGTGGCCTTGCCTGGACACGTGTCACTCTCTGGTCACGGGTGCAAGACGCTCTGGAGTTCTGTAGGTCTTCTTCGGGCTCCACAGGTCTGGAACTCCCTCAAGTACTGGTCAGCAAATAGGGCAGGCGTGGCAGCGATAGCGGGGGCAGGGGACGCTGTAGAAGGGTGTGTTCTGCGCGGCGAGCTCGCCCCGGCTCTCACACGCGAATTCGGCCACGGGCGGCCCGGTGGCCCCCCTGTCTCGGAGTGAGGCGGAACAGCACGGGGGGCCGCCTTCGAATTTGGCGTTGCCCCAGGCGACCCGCGCGGCGAATCAGCGGGGGCGAACTGTAGAAGGGCGAATTAGTGCCCGGAAGGCCCTCCAGGAGCGGGACGCGATTCTGGTTCCTCCTCCTGCTGGGCTGCACTATGGGAGGCGAAGCATCTAGGAAATTCTCGTGGTAGTAGCCAGTGGTCTGGGATGACGCGTGGGCAACGGTCGGCTCCATCTCCATCATCTCGTCCAGGTCATCGTCTTGGGTCTCATCCTCTGACTCTGGTTCCGGCTCCTGGTCCCCCTCCTGGTCGGCGTCGGGATCTGGCTGCGGGACCGGGCACACAAATTCACCCTTGTTCTCTTCATCCTTGACTGTCTCCACGTCCACCTCCTCGTCCACGTCCACCTCCTCGTCCTCGTCCTCCTCTTCCTTCTCTTCCAGTTTCTTCTTCATCTCCTCCAGCTGCTTCTTCCGCATCTCTTCCTGCTTCTTCCTCTTCTCCTCCTCCTCCCTCGCCTCCTCCTGAAGAGCTCTCACGCGCCTCCGCTGCTCCCTGTCGTAAAGCCTGCGCCTGCGTGTCTCTTCATCTTCGTCACTGTGGAAATCTTCCTCATCACTGTCTTCGTTAGGGTCCGCAGCGAAAGGGAAGAAGATGTTGCGGACCCCCGGGAGCGGGATCGGCTTGGGCACGCGCACTTTCCTCTCTATCTCCACACACTCGAGAATCAGCTCATCCAGGTCGGCCATTTCAGTGGACCATAAGAGCTCCTTGCGGAAGAATTCTGACAGGCCTTTAAGGAACTGGTTTTGAAGGCGGCAGTCATCCCAAGACAAGAACTGGGCCAGGAACTGAAAAGCATCTGCATAGCTGCCTAGGGTACAGTGGCCTTGCCTGAGCTTGCGGATGGCCTTTTTAGCCACGCTCGGGGGGATGGGGCCGCAGAATTCCTTGCGGATCTCATCCAGGAAGCGTGGGAAGTTGGCACGCAGGGGGCTTCCTTCCCGGGTGACCGAGATGGCCCAGTTCTTGGCTTGGCCCGCGAAAAAGGAGATCAGAAAGGCCACCCGCTCGGCGCCCCCGGGGAAATGATCCTCGTGGTCAGCTATGAAGGTCTCTAGCTTCATCAAGAATTCGGCCAGGTAGACCGGGTCGCCCGAGAAGGGCTCTAACTCGGGCCGCTCCAGCGGCGGCAGAGGAGGCTGCGCGGGCAGCTCCTTGGCTGGGGGCGGGGGCAGCGCCGGCGGGGGCGGGAGGGCCAGCGGGGGAGGGTCGACGGGCGCGTCGGAGGTACCGCAGTCCTGGATCACGCTAATCAACAGTTCGTCCGAGGCGTACTCGGGCTCCGCGCGGGGGGGGGGCCAGCACAAGAAAGGCAGCTCCCCCTCGGGAACTGCGTCGATCTCGCTGAGCGGGAACTCAAAGTTCTCCTCGGCAAGGACGGGCACCACCGGCACTGGCCAGCGGATGTAGCTCGACACGTTGCCCCGCAAGGAGTTAACCTCGGCTAGGGCTCTTCCGAGCTGAAGGCCCAGATTGGCATTCTCCCCGCGAAGGGCATTTAATTCTTCTCGCAGGGCCACGTTCGCCATGCGCAGGCTGTTTAGATTTCCGGCGGCCTCGGACATCAGGATTAGCTCAGGGGCCCCGGGTCTGAGGGCGGGGGCGCAGGCGGAGGGGGGTGGGGAGCTGGAGGCCGCGAGAGGAGGCTGAAATGCGGCGGCGGAGCGCGTGCGGGGGGAGGGGAGCGGAGCGCCGCGGCGGGGCGCGGGAGAGGCCGAGCCACACCCACTGGGGCGAGCTCGGAGGGCGGGCGCTCCGGCCGGAGGGCCCAGCGGCTCGGCCCGGGGCGCTTTACCTCGTCCCGGGGATCGGATCGGAGAGGGCGGGCGGGCGGCGGCGGGAGCCGGGAGGCGCCGGGAGCCGAGGACGCGGGCGGCGGGCGGCGGGCGGCAGGCGGCAGGCGGCGGCGGGGCGAGCGGAGGCTGGCGGAGCGGGAGGGAGTGCACTGCGGCAGGATCTGTCGAGGAAAAATCTTGCGGTTGGCGAGTCCCCGCCTTTTAAGCGCAGCGTCGTGCCGCCCCCCCACCCCCGGCGGGGCGGGTCTTAGGGAACGGCGGGCGCCCACTGGCCGCCGCGCACCGCCCCCCCCCCCCCCCCCCCCGCCTGCGCCTCTCACTGACTCTCTCCTTCCCTAGCTGCAGCTAACTCGGGTCGGGAAAACGCGACAGCGACTGCCCACTCGAGGTCGTCATGGCGACAGCCAGTGAACGTGTTCCTCTCCTCGGGCAGGCCCCCGAGTGTAGAGGAGCTGCTTCGAGAGGCGCAGCTCAATCTCCAGAGCCTGTTGCAAGGTACTGAGAGGGAGGGGGGCTGCGGCCGGAGCCCACAGGCGAGATGCGCAGCGGCTGGAGGGAGGCGCAGAAGAAAGAGGACAGGGACCAGCGAGAGAAAAAAAAGAGAGAGAGAACGGTTGAAACCCCACTGAAAAACAAAAAAACACACAGTTTCCCATCTTTTTACCTTCCAGACTAAAGGATTCGAGAGGGTTCCGTTTCTCCTGGCTGTTTACTCGCCACCCCTCCCTTCCACCCCGCCCCTTTATTTTTCAGTTCAGGAGGCCGCGGGGGGGGGGAGGGGGGGAGGACGGAGGCAGAAGCAGGGCAATGGTCAAGCCATTTATAAAGGGAGCTGGGTGAGAGACTCCCACAGGGTGGGCTCACAGACCTTTTAGACCCTCTCTTGCCACGTCACCCGTGCCTTTGGAATCCTCACACCCAAGGACAATGGAGGCATCTGCAGGGTCTCCCCCTCCGGGCTTCACCCACTCTGCTCTTGCCACAACCTGTCCGTGTGTCTCCTGGGGAGCACCTGCCTCATCAGAGTAAGCCCGACAGGGACGCCTGAGTGGCTCTGTCGGTTGAGCTTGAGCGTCCAACTCTCTATCTCAGCTCAGGTCTTGATCTCAGGATTGTGGGTTCGGTCCCTGCATTGGGCTCCATGGTGGGCGTGGAGCCTACTTTAAAAACAAACAACAAAAAACAAAAAGGAAGCCCAGTACCCAGCACCCAGAGCTCTCCTCATCCCCAATTCCCAGCCCATTGTCTTTGGAGTATACAGATGAGCACGCTGTACACAAAGCTGGGTCCACACGACCCGGACACACAGCCCAGTCGTGGTGCCTGAGCAGTCAGACTGTGCATGCACCAGGCAGAGTGAGAAAACCCAGACTCTGAAATCAGACAGAGCTAGAATCTCATTCCCACCCCTCACCTAACTAGCTGTGGGATGTTATGCAGAGTACCCAAAGCTTCAGATGAATCAGTCATCTTTAAAGTGAGATTCCAGTTCCCCACGCGGCACAGTTTTGTGAGAATCAAAAATGGTATGTAACCTGCTCAGCAAGAGTATCTTGCAGCTGGAGAGACCCCGATAAGATGCACCGTCAACTCCCGGTACGTGTCCTTTGGAACACAGGCTTAGCTGGGCACAATATTAAAGTTAACACAAAGGAGAAAACAGTGCGGTCGCTGATAGGCCCTTACAAGACAAAAACCAGACACCTTGACCAGAGGGATTTAGCCTACGTAAGTGGCAAAGAGATTAAAACTCAGTGCTATGAGAGAGACAACTGGGGTGTCACAGTATCTGGACGGAGGTTATAAGGGACGTGCATATGTCAAAATTCACTGAGCTGTGCACTGCAGGTTTGTACACCCTGCTGTAGGTAAGTTATATCTCCATGAAGTAATTAATACAAATAAAATCTCAGTGGTAGTCGCAAGCTCCGTACCTACTCCAGGCACTCGCTGTCCCACTGAGGCCTCTCTTCCAGGCCCAGAAGCCCTTCCTCAATGTCTTCCAACCTCCAAACCGTACACTTTCTTCACAGTCCTCTTCTTGCCTCATTCAAAACCCTTTAACACTAGTTCTACACTTTGCTCATTCCCTTCGTGAGCACTCCCGCGAGCCACCTTGGGCCATCCAGCTCCAGAGGACTTGTATCGTTCTGAAGTACTTTTTCTTTCATTTGTTCATTCATTTACTCATTCACCTACTAGTCCCGGGCTTATCACTTGTCTGCCTAACCAGACCGAACTTCTCGACAGAAAGAATCACATCTCTTAGTACCCTTGTGTTTCCAGAAGCAGCCGGCACAGAGCTGGATCCCCAAGAGGTGCTCCGTAGGCATTTGTTGAGTGAACGTTAAGTGTGAGAAGAAGTCTTGTCAGCTCTCGTTTATCCATACCAACGAAGGTTAACTCTTATGGAGAGTAGAAAATGGTAGCTGGGCCACCCAACTGGACTCCAGCCAAAACCCTCGCCTCCCTTGCCAGGGCAGTGGTGGTGACCTTAGAGAAGCAAGATTCCAAGGGACACCATGAGCCTTGCGTTCAGATAAGAGAGGAGCTGCCAAGCAGAAAAGGAGTCAGTGTGCTCTGTGTTGCCACCATGGGCAGATTTAGGACCGGTGGGTGAAGGAAATCTAGAGGGAGGCGGATTTCACCTCAGGATAAGGAAGAGCTTTCCTGCCATGCCTGGCAGCCCCAACTGTCCTTGGATGGAATGAGCTGCCTTGGGAGGACGGCAGCTCCCCTTCTCTGCAGGTCTGTGTGGAGGCTGAAGAAGCATCTAGAAGGGCTGCTGAGGAGGAACTCTGAGCCCAGAAGGGGGTGTTGGACCAGAGAACTTTTGAGGCCCCCCGGACTCCCAAGTCTCTATGAGTCTTAAAGTCCTTGTCCAGGTGTGCAGAGAGCCCCACCCCTGTTGGTCCTTTGCTCTCTCCTGTTCCTCATCTACTCATCGAACCCATCACTTCAGTGAAGTCCATTCAAATCTTGTGCATCCCTCCTATTCGCTGACAATGCCCTTCCACTTCTCCTTCCTTCTCGGCCACTACCTCTGCCTTCCCTCTCCCTCACCTTAGCCCCCCTGGACCTGACACAACCCACAGTGGGACTAAGGTGCAGGGAACCAGGCCCTCGGAGGCTCAGATGAGAGTTCTTGAGATCCAGGGGAGCCCTCCACATTGGACTTCCCAGTGCAAATTTCTTCCTGCTTCACACAGGTCCTTTCCCTGGTAGGCTTGCAGAAAACCTGAGGAGCTGCAGGGCTTCAGAGAAGGGTGTCTGCAGCCTGAGGCTCTCCTCTAAGTTGAGCCCCTAAGGTGGGGGCCGGCAAGACATGGGCTTGGTCTGCGAACCGGCGCAACTCGACTCTACCGACTCTCTTTTCTCCTCGGCCTTCGCAGTCCTGGGAAGTAGGCATTTTTCCGTTTCCGAAGCCAGAGGCTCGGACGCTGGGCCAAACCGTAAAGAAACAAGGCAAGTCAGGCCTGGCAGCTAAAGCAGGAGCCCCAGCTTGCGGTCCTCTCCCAGCCCGGTGCTTGGCCGTGGCCCCTAGAGTGTGTATCCACTGTGCTGTTTTTCAGAAGAATATGAGGAACGGTACCCGGAGGCCAGACTTCTGGGGCAGACCTTCCGCTCTGCTGATGAGGCCCCTGAGCCCACTCCTAGCCCAAGGCCCCAGGCTGGCAGGCGTCTGGAGTTTGTGCTGATGGTGAGTTGCCTCTTCCTCCCACCTGTGAGAGCCAGCGTGGGCAGAGAGCTCTCTGCGCTCATTGACAGCGGCCCTCGAGCTGCGTACCTTACCCACCGGAAGCTGCTGCTCACCTCTGCTTGCCAGCAGAGCTACCCTGAGGCCCTGCCGAGATGGGCCCCACACAGCAGGTGTCTGGCCTGGCAGCCCGTCCACACTTTCCTGCCTACCAGACGAAGCCTCCGACCACCCTGTCTAGACAGCCATCCCGTGGGCACGGCTCATCCCGTCGGGAGCACACCCTTTCCATCACCTTCTTTCCCAACAGCCTACAAAACGGCAGCCGAGTGAGGATGAGACTACCACCCAGGGTGTGAGGGCCCCCGAGGCCTCCCTGAGCCTGTCTACCACAGCCGCCAAGCAAGCTGCCTGGAATAGCCCCTCCCCTCTGCCCATCCTAGAGGAGAAGCGGTGGCTTCAGCCTTGCTCCACGCACTCTGACATTGTGCCCATCAACATCTCTGGTAGAGTTGCTTAGCACCACCTCTGTTTGCTTCCCTCCATGCCAACTACAGACCATCCTCTCCAAATGCACTGGGTGCTGGGGGAGGGAGCGAGACTTTTCTCTGCTGCTGGCTCACCCTGCACTGTCAAGGTCATGGCTCTTGGCCCGGGGGGGCGGGGTGGGGGAGATGAAGGCATGCAGGCGAGGGGGCTCTCACTGCTCTTTCTTCACTCTGTCCTGGCACTGCCACGCTAACCGAGCCCCTTTGAGAGCAAACAAATTCCTCTTAACAGAAAACGCTAGGACTCTGTGAATGCGTGGGCTCTTCGGAACGTCCGTGGGAACTTAAAGTTTGTGAGCTAGGTTTCGTTTGGGGAGAGAGAACTTCTCGTGCCAGAAGCCAGCTTGGTAGCACCCAGATAGGAGTCGGAGTCGAAGTGTGAGGTTTGTAGTGTTGGTGGTCAGAGGGAGGATCCCACCAGGGACACAGAGCTGGGGCCTCGTGGCACTTCCAGTAGACACTCGGTCTGCTAGAGAGGTGGGCTTCTTCACCTTGTGCGGCAAGTGTTTGAGAAGGGAAGTAATAGAAAGAGACCAAGGCAAATGCGGCTCAGCTGGCTGTGATTTGGGGGCACGGGGCACCCTAGACCATGCCCGTTATTAACTCATGCTCCACACTCCACCAGCTGTACATGGAAGAGGAGGAGGGTCCGTCATTTCAGAAGGAGATAGGGCCAGCGACCTGATGACATGAAGCCCTCCTAACTTAAAGGGACCAGGGGCCCCCTGGGAGCCAGCACTGGCCAGTGGTATGCTGGAGAAAAAGTTGCTGAAGGCCATGAGGGCAGGTCTGGCCACGTGTGGTAGCTCTCCCTGAACATGGGGGCATTCGGCGCCACCCGCATCCCCTCGGCAAATCAGAGGCAGAGCTCAGAGCCTAGGGAGATGCACCAGGAGGAATGAAGGCCGGGAAGAGAGACTCGCCGAGTGAAGGCGGGCGCTTTGTCTTTACACTTCCACCTTACTCTCAGTGAGCCTGGCCCTGAGTTTTGCCCGCAGAGCCCCTTGCTGGGGGCAGGGTGGGCAGTGGGTTACATATGCAGCTACGGGGCCGAGAGGGGAGGGTCTGGTGAGCCCGCTGTCGCTGCGGAATGAGAGACAGCGCGGGGAACAGCGTGCCTCACCCCACCCCTGCCCCAGCAATTCCCCTGGAGCAAAGACTGACCCAGGGTTTCGAGAGAAATAGATCTCAATCACTACACAGGGGTGAACGTTGATAAAATGTGATCAGGTGACTGGAGGACAGACTAGCAGGCTGCTTCCTGGATGGTGGGGGGCCAGTGGGGCAGCTTCTTGGAGGCCCTGTCCTTACTGGCCCATACAAAGGCTTTCTTTGAGAAACGATTACAATCAAGCAACATCTAGTCTCAACCTGTCTCTCTACTCTGGTGGTTCTCACCCCGGGCTGCACATCTGAATGATCAGTCATCTGGGGAATTCAAGAAAAATGTTTCTATCGGGGTCCGACAGCCCGAGATTTCAGTGTCCTTGATGGGGTTCAGATACTAGGGTTTCAAAAGCTGCTCAGTTGGATTTGATATGCAGCCAGGGTTGAAAGCCCTGGCTCTCGGCCACCTAGGACTCGCAGGTGACCCAGGGTGCGACCTGTGAAAGCCCACATGTATGTCTTGGGGCTGCGGGTGCCCGGGGCCAAATTGGGAGGGATGAGGAAGAAGGGCCACTTGCCTGGACCCTGTTCATGCTCATCGCTACTGCCGTCATCCCTTCTGTGCACCTCAGACTGATTTCCACTGTGCTGTAAACAGAAACCAGGATGCACCCAAGTGTCTTTATTTTGGCTACAGGGCAACAGTTTGATAAACACGCAAGTTTGCGACACTCGTTGTTTAACACAGAGACAGCCGTGAACCCCAAATCCACCCTGAGGCGGAGGCGGACCATTATTGGATTCTCTAACTTTTCCCAGCGAGACCAAGGTGACCCCACCACAGCTGATGCCCCAGATCCTTCCCCTTGTTCACTTCTACCAGCCCTGCCCCCCAGGAATAATTCAGAGTGCGTGCGTGTGCGTGTGTGTGTGCGTGGGGGGGGAGCTTTGGATGCCCTAAAAAAAACCCCATGTGGTAATTAAGGATAACCAAGGGCCCTTTGTCAAGGGCGTCAACTGAATATGGAAAGCAGGTTTCCCAGGCTAATAAATTCATTATGTTATTGTTTCCCATTCTACATGGAATATAGCCGTATGTGTCAGATTTAGGCAAATAGATCAAGGCAGGAATCATCATGAAAAGCACCATCCTAACAGAACCATTACTGCTACTAAATGGAGGCCAGCCAAAGGGCGCAGACCAGAGAGATGTGGATGCGAGTCCCGGCCTCTCCGCTTACTAAAACCATGAGGCCTTGGCCAGTTTGCATCACCTCTCTGAGCCTCAGCGTCTTCATCTGTAAATTGGGGATAACAACACCAAGCTGGCGGAGTTGTGCGGATTAGAGCTGTTAACATGTAATGGGCCTACCGTGCACCCGGTGCGTAGTGGGTGCTCAACGAATGGTGGTTGCTCTTATAAATTTATTATAGTCGTAGTAGCAGCAATGATGTGACAGTAAGGATTGTTGTGGATGAGAAAACCTTTGGGGATTTTGGACATCGGAATTGTTTCCCCACATCTGTGGGTCATCCCAAGTCCCTCGCGTGTGGCAAAGCTAAAAAGGGCCAGGTGCCAGAAATGCAACCAGGCTCTGAACTTGCCGCCCGTGGCATCCTCCAGATTCATTGCCGGGGCTGGAAGTCCCACGGCGCTGTCCTTTGGCAGGTCCCCAGCCCCCGCTCTCGTCTCAGGAGAGGAGGAGCACTGAGGTCTGGGATCGTTCGTGAGCCTGGGCTGGAAGCTCGGGGGAAAAAACAAACAAACCCAGGTAGCCCCACACGCCACTTGAGCTCTAAAAGGAATAATTAAAGCCAGCAAGGCTTTGGCAGCCTCCTGGACAATTCAAGGGCAAGGCACCCCGTGACTCACCATGTGGTGATGGGCAAGGACCCAGCTTCCCCAGCATCCTCATCTCGGGAGAGGAAGAACCAAGGAATCCTGACCAAGCTGTTGGCAGATGCTTCTTGGCAAGGCTTTGGTGCACCTGTCTCGAGACGAGGACCTCAAGGGGGATCCCTGGCGGCAGCACTAACTCTCTGTGTTTACCTTCCGCAGGTCACGGCAACAGGCCGGCTGGCAGCGGGGCCCACACCGCCACCTCGGACATCAGGCCCAGTCATTCGGCCCCAGAAGGTGTGCATGGAAGAGGGGCAGTTGGTCAGGAAGTTCAGTTCCCAAATCTCACCTCCCCAGGACTGAGGAGTCCTTCTAGTGACCCAGAGGAACCGCTCCAAGTGCGCGGTGTCACCAAAGCCCCGGGCATGGAGAGCATAGGAATCGTGTACAGCGTCCCCAGTTCTTGCAACGGGCCGACAGAATCGACGTTCTCTGCTTCCTGGAAGGGAGATACTTTTACCTACATGGCTCCAAGTGCCGCCAGCCAGAGCAGTCGAGTGGGTGAAAATGGAAGAGATCCTTCCTCGGGCAACGCTTGGGTCCCTCTGCACGCGCTGCCGCCTCTAGTTCCTAAGGAGGCCGCTACCCTCCTTGTCACTCGTGATAACCCTGCAGGATGCAGTGGGTCAGCTGGCTACTCTGAGCGCCCTACTCAACGAAGGCAAGCATCAGAGCGACCCTCCAAGATTGGCCTCCTCACCAGTGGTACCTCAAGGCTGGAGACAGGCCCAGGGGGGTCCAGCAGGTTCCGGGAGCGGTCTCTGTCTGTGCCCACGGACTCGGGCACCGCGGATGTGGACTACAAGGAGGAACAGAAGGCCAGTGAGGCCTGTGCCCTGCCTTACGCCAGTACGAGTTCTGAGGGCAGTAACAGTGCCGACAACATCGCCTCCCTTAGCGCGCAACAGGAGGCCCAGCACAGGAGGCAGAGATCCAAGAGTATCTCGCTCCGGAAGGCCAAAAAGAAGCCGTCCCCACCCATGCGCAGTGTCTCGCTGGTCAAAGATGAGCAGGCCCTCTCGCCGGAAGGTGGGTCAGCACTGCCCAAGGACCAGAGGCCCAGGAGCCTCTGCCTCTCCTTGGAACACCAAGGACGTCCCTCAGCCCACCCCGATGCTCAGGGTCACCCAGCTGTGCCAACCGTCAAAGATCCGGAAGGTACACAACTCTCCCACCACTGGTATCTGGCTGACTGGAAGTCCGGCGACACCTACCAGTCCTTGTCCAGCTCCAGCACTGCCACTGGCACCACGGTCATCGAGTGCACCCAAGTTCAGGGCAGCTCAGAGTCTCTCGCCTCCCCTTGCACGTCCAGAGCCACGACGCCTTCCCAGCTCTCCATCGAGGTGGAGGCCAGGGAAGTATCCTCCCCAGGAAGGCCCACCGGGCTGATGTCACCCTCCAGTGGATACTCCAGCCAGTCGGAGACACCAACGCCCACCGTCTCCATGTCCTTGACCCTGGGCCACCTGCCCCCTCCGAGTGGCGGCGTCCGGGTGCGTCCGGTGGTACCCGAGAGGAAGTCGTCGCTGCCCCCGACCTCGCCGATGGAGAAACTTGCCAAGTCACGGCTGTCATTTGACCTGCCGTTGACCTCTTCAGCCAACCTGGATCTGTCCGGGATGAGTATCTCCATCCGAAGCAAAACCAAGGTGAGCCGACATCACTCAGATACAAATTTTGGGGCCAAGCTGGCCCAGAAAACGAGCCCCAACCAGCCCGTCATGCCCATGGTCACTCAGTCCGACCTCCGTTCCGTGCGCCTGAGGTCAGTCAGCAAGTCTGAGCCGGAAGATGACATCGAGAGCCCAGACTATGCTGAGGACACAGGAGCGGACGTCTTCACCTTGCCAGAGAGAAAGACGAAACCCCCCATAGCCGAGAAGCCCCCCGTGGCCCGAAGGCCTCCGAGCTTGGTCCCCAAGCCACCATCCGTCCCCGAGGAGTACACACTCACCTCACCGACCTCGGCCATGACCCCCAAGAGCTCAATTCAACACACGCGGCCACTCCCTCAAGACATCTACACGGTGGTGCGGAAACCAAAGCCCTCCAGCTTCCCCGAGGGCAGAAGCCCCGGGGAACCTCCAGCGCCCTCGTCTCTCGCTTTCACACCTTTTGCCAGTTCCTCTGGTGCTTTCTTCTCAGGAACACAGCAACCTCCCCAGGGCACCACGGAGGACGGGGGCCCCAAGGCGAGAGCCCTGCCTGAAAGAATCAGCCTGCAGAGCCAGGAGGAAGCGGAGAGAAAGAAAGGCAAGATCCCACCTCCCGTCCCCAAAAAGCCCAGCGTGCTGTACCTGCCTCTCACCTCACCCACGGCTCACATGGAGGCGTACGGGGCCGAACCAAGGCTGCCTCTCAGCCCCATCATCACCCTGCAGGAAGAAGCCAAGGGTCCCCCCACCAGTGACCACCCACAGTCCCCTGGTACGAGGACGACTTCACCACTGCAGGCTGAAGGTGAAAGGGAGGCAAGTCCTCTAGGTTAGTAAACTGCTGGCTATTCCTTTCAATCCAGGAAAGATGACGGTGAGCATAGAGTGCCAGAGACGGAAGCAGATGCCCCCCAATAATGATCCTGAGTCCAGGACAGCCGGGTCAGTAGGAGGCATCTCTTGAGGGTTGGGGTTCTGCCAAAGAGGCCTCGCCGCCCTTGGGATCAGGAGTGACCCAGGCAGGGATGGATCTCCAAGGCCCACTTTGGGCCGGTCCACCCTGGAACCCCCAAGGACTGAGAGAATAAAATCAAACCAGGTCTTAGCACGCTAGGACCCTAGGAGCCCATCTGCCTAGTCAGGCACGCATCCCCCGCCCTAGGAACTCTCTCTCTGCCTCACTGGACAGCACTTTTCTCTAGCCACGCTGATTTTAGTTTCACGCATGGGACTCCGTACCCTCCCAGGCTGAGTTCCCGTGTGACGGCCCGCTCGCAGGCTTCTGAAAGGGTAGCATAGGTTTCCAGCGGCACCCTTTCTTAGTGCTTTCTGGAGGAAAGGGCGCTCACTTGCTGGGATTCTTTGAGGCTGGCTCTTCCCAGGACAATAAGACGGGGCTGGATAATGTTTCTCGTCCTTTTGGGGGGTCTTTTTTTTTTCATGCCCCTTTCCTGTTTCCATTGCGGTCAAATGCACCTAATGTGAAATTTACCATCTCCAGAGCGCTCTTCATCTTGCAACACTGAAGTCTGTACCCATTAAACAACAACTCACCACCGTTCCCTCCCCCTAGCCGCTGGCAACCACTCTTCTACTTTCTGTCTCTATGAATTTGCCTCTCTCTAGGGAGCTCGTGTAAGTGGAATCACACCGCACTGGTCTTTTGTGGACCGCCTATTTCACTTAATAGATTGTCCTCCACATCCATCCGTGTTTCTCATCCTTTTTTGGAACCCTTAACACCAAACATCAAAATCTTATCACCTTCCTGGGGCGCCTGGGTGGCTCCATCACGGTTTCTGTTCAGGTCGTGATCCCGAGATGTCGGGGTCCTGGGGTCAAGCCCCACATCGCATCGTCGGGCTCCTTGCTCAGGGCAGAGTCTGTGAGTCTGCTTGTCCCCCTCCCTCCCCCTCAGCTCCTCCCTCACTCCATGCTCTCTCTCTCTTCCTCTCTCAGGTAAATAAGTAAAATCTTAGAACAAAACAAAACAAAACAAAAAAACAACATCTTATGACCTTCCTTAAGCTGATTTGGACTTTCAACAGAAGTTAAATCATAGGGACTAGAACAGGCAAACAAATCAAAGCCCACAGGTAATTTTAGAATATGCTTTGTCAAACTCCACAGGCTCCCTCTGAGATTCAGATAGGTCCCACTCCCACCTACTGGTTGAGTCATTGCTTTAGATTACTCTCAGCTTTTTTGATTTTTAAAAATGATGCATTCAAAGCAAGAAAATGCTCTGGCAACCTGTTGTAATGGAAAAGGCATGAGAAAACAAGGACCCATGCTGATCTTCACCACTCAGGCCACCTTGGCCAAAACAACCTTCTGAACATCGTGTTCCTCTGCAAAATGGAGACATTAAGGGTCTCTGCCCAGCAGTCCTTTCAGACTTGCTTTGAACATCAAATGAGGTACATGGGTGAGAATGTGCTTTGTCCTAACTCCTGTGGGCCAAGTATTTAATTCCTTCTGGTTCTTATGCCTAGGGAGCTCTGCAGAACCAAGCACTGAAGAAAAAAGTGTAATCAGCGATAAAACAGCCGAATGGATCGCCGAAGACGATGAGGACGTGTTTGTGGCTTCTCGCACAACGGAAGATTTGTTTACTGTGATACACAGGTCTAGACCCATTTCCTTAATTCCTAACGTCTCCTTAATGCCTTCCCTTTTGAGCCCTCTGAGCAGCCATGAGCACTGAAGCTGGAGACTAAGTGCAGATACCCACACATGGGAACGGCAGTGCCAGGCCTCGCAGATGCAGTTCGCTGACATCTTTGGGTGACGTGGAGGAGGGGCCGGGAAGGGAGGACCAGGTGCCGAGTGAGAGGCCCCTCGTCTCCTAGCAACCGCAGGCCTATTGTGGCTCCATCTGCTCTCTGCAGCTCTGTCTACAGACAGAGACATTTAACCCTTCACAGCATTCCTTGTACCAAACCCATCTCAGCAAGAAGCGCGGTGGGGCACCGAGCCGGGTGGGTGTCAGAGCAGGAACGTAGGCAAAGGGGGACCGGACGGGGACCCCCGTTCTTGGACAGGGGCACAGAGCAGGGGCTTGGTGGTGAGAAAAACTAGAAAGAGCCCAGTTATCAGGGCTGCGGGAGGGCCCGTTCCCTCGGGCTCTCTTGAATCCGAGTCACCGAGCTACAAGCCTTGACTCCTTAAATTCTTCCTCGGTCCCAGAACCAGGGCATGGTCGAGCCTGCAGGCCCTCCAGCTGTGGGTATTGAAAGGAGGGTACAGGCAGGGAGCCAGACAGGGGACTCTGAGGACTTAGCAGCTAGTGAGAGAGAGAGAGAGAGAGAGAGAGAGAGAGAGAGAGCGCTGGTCAGCGCAACTGCTCGCAAGGCTGCTCCGTGAGGCTCCCAGGTCATGTCACTGGCCTTCGGGAAGTTATATGAAGCATTAGGAAAATGTCTGCCGCGTTGAATTCACTCAGAGCAAACTTTCTCTTCTTTAGGTCCAAAAGAAAGCTGCTTGGCTGGAAAGAGCCTGGGGAGGCCTTTGCCAGCGGCGGCAGACCAAGCTCGCATTCACCAGTAAAGAACCCAGCTGATTCTCCAGTCGGTGAGTCAGCTACCCCTCCCGGGTCAAGCGGCGGTGCCAACCTAGATGCTGGCAGAAACGATGACTTCAAGGCCTTGCTACAGAAGAGGGGAAGCAAGGCAACTCCAAAGTCCCGCCCCTCAGCAGCCGAACTGCTGAAGACCACTAACCCACTGGCTCGGAGAATTATTGCACAATTTTCAAAAGACTACGAAACCACCGATAACCCCAGTACCTAAGGCCCGGGTTCAGCAAACAGGGTTTAGTCACCAGACTTGAGTAGACGAAGGGGAAGAGAAAGGGTTTTAAAAAGGAGTCGTGGAAATAACAGAAGAGCCTACTTGTCCTTTCCATTCATTCACCCCCTGGACAGCAGGAGAGAGGCCACTTGACCTAGAACTGAAATCATCAGGCACTTTAATCACCTTCGGACATTTCGCATTGTCATACGTGTAACGATCTTGCCATTACTGACGACAGATTTTCTCCTTCTTCCCCCCAGTGCTGTGCCCTGAGGAGAAATCCGTCCCTGACTCCTGTCACCAAGGGGCACAGTGCGAGGGCCGACTGGGGCTGCCGAGACTGGGGGTTTTCCGATTATTCACTTTCCGGGCAAGGCCTTGATGGCCCTGTGTAGAGAAGCAGAAAGACTCTGAGGCCTCTTCAAACCACAGTCTTGCTCTCCGAAGCCCCCCTCAGAGAGGTTTGCGGGTGTACGCTTATTTCAGCATGGGGTTGATTGGCTGGCTTTTGTCATGCAAAATATGAATGTGACTCTGTCTTGAAATTCATGCCTTTTTCAGTTGGATTGTCTACGCGGAGAACAGGGTGATGAGTTCCGATAAACATGTAGACCCCCCTCCCCCTTTAGCTAGGAAAAGTCAGGACTGGGTTGCTTTGGATGAACCAAGTTCAGCGAGCAAACGAGGCAGCCATGCGTTCTCTCAGATCTAGCCGAGGCAACTCGCACGCGCGCGTGCGCCGTGACATTCTCCGAGGGTCTGTCCACAATGAGAGCTAGGATCGGTGCCCAGCTCAGGCTGCATTCTAAGAACCCTCGTTTCACTTGCATATAACCTTCATTACAGGAAGTAATTAGCTGAAGGAACAGCATCATCAAAGGCTCAAGGAGGAGAGAAAGTAAGTGTAACTTGTCCACCTCCATTCAGTTTAGATTGTGGTTTGTGGTTGCTTTTGTTTGGGTTAAAGGAGGTCTTACTCTGTTCCCAAACCGAGAATGTATGGACTAAAAAAGGATATATCCAAAACCTAAAAGGCTGCCTTGCAAGTTGCTGTGGCCCATAACACACACACACACACAAAGGGCTAATTTTTTTTTTTTTTTTTTTTTTTTTTGGCCATTTAGGTTCCACCTTGTGACCAACTTTCAGTTAACTATGCTGTGGGGGAGTGGATGGTCTGGGGAAAATAGGGTGCTGACAGAGCCCCAGAACAATCCCCGTGACCCCCCTCCCACAAACACACAAGCTTATAGGCACTAACTATTCTTGTCAGTTCAATTTTCTAAACAGGTCAAGAGCAGTGATTCATTTGATTTTCGTATGTCTGGTCGCTGGGAGGTTGGGGGGGAAAAACAGACGACGCATTGAACAAAAACTGGCTGACCAGTCATGGAGGGTTAATTGTCCACGTTCCCAAGAAGGGAAAAGAAAAGTCAAAGGAAATTGTAGCCTGCTTCCTGGACCCCTTCCTCCTTCACCACTGCCATCCCCCCACCAACGGATTCATTGGCCAACCTCCTGGAGGCTGCAAAAACTGCCCCAGAGACAAGCAGTTCTTGATTTTGATAGGCCGCCTTGCTCACCAATGAGAAGCAAGCTCTTAGCTCCACTGCCCACACTCTAGCAGGCAGAGCAGCTGAAAAGCTACCCTGAGAGCTGAGGAGACTTGGAAGCCGCTTAGAAGCCTTCAGCCTAGACCCTGGGTTGGTACAGTTCTGAATTCCGGACTTCTGAGTACAGGCCGGCCTCACCAACTTCTGCGCGATCCGCACTTGCCCCTGGTTTAGGCAGAGGCCACTTAAAATAATAAGCAGCGAGAACCCAGTTGCTTTCGAAAGCATCCCAACTATTTGGTTCGAAGGTCCTGATCGAATTTCAGGGGGTTTGCCTGACATCAAATAAGACTCATTCCTGGCCTGAATTTACATACGAATGCCACACTCGTCTGCCCCAGCCTCAGCATTCCAAAAGACAAATATTTTCCTCCTTAGGGAAGTGAAGGGGTGTTTGTGCTTTGGCCTAACAAAAGTGAAAGGCTTCCAGGGCCTTCTCCTGGGGAAGCACTTTGAACAGCTCAACTCTGAAGCCGAATACGAGACTCACATAGTATAGGATTTGTTACTTCTGCTGATTTTTCTGGAAGCTTCTCGTTTGCTACTTCTAGTGGGTTTCGCCTCTCCCCTCGCCTTGCTATCTCTGGTGGTTTTCCCAAAAGGTTCTAAAGCTGAATGACCGGACACCTTTAGGTTTTAACGTTTCCTTGAGTCTTGCTTTCCTCTATGGTAGTCTGTATACCTGGGATTTTTATAACGTCTTCTGCATCATTATTATGGCCCTGAAATTCCCGGTGGTGTTTCTCATTAGCACAAGAGGATTTGGGGCAGTGATTGTATGGCCAGAGGGAACACCGAGGACTAGAAATGTTCCTTTAATATTTTGCAGCAGGGGACCTAATCCCAAACAAACAGCCAGACTGTAGAATTTGTTAGTCATTGAGGACCGTAAGACCAAACATCTTTCCTGCTCTTAACACGCAACATCTCTCACCCCTGTGATTATCATAACACCAGCTCTCTCTCCCACCGAGGCACACAGCATGGTGTTTGCTGCCTTGTACCCCTACTTGCTAAGGCTAGAGAAGACAGGCTGCAAGCCCCTCCAGGCAGGCTTTCAGAGAACCTCCTGCTGCCTCTGTTACTTGTGCAGATAATAATGATAACAGGTTTTGAAGGTGGAAATCAGAAGGGGTTCAAGTGAAATGAAGTTGGCCCCAGGAGGTCAGCTTCCATTTGAAGTTGTTTCCATCCTTCTGGTTTGCTCTCATTCCAGCCAGTAGCAGCAGGTGGCTCTGCTAGGCTGACCTCAGTCTAGTCACAAGCAGAGAGAGTTGTCCCCAGGATTGGTTAATGGGTAGCTAAGAGTGCTTTGCTCTAGGTGGGTGTTGATTACATATTTGTGGTTCAAATGTTGAGGGGAGAGAGCAAGCCATTCTTGGTACAACAGGAAGCCTCGTTGGTGCCTCCCCTCCTTTGCCTGCCTCATCTCTCGCCTGGACCTCCCACCGGGCCCCAACTTGTCCCTCAGCCCCAACTCCCGTGACCTGCATCCCTAGCCTCCCGCGCGTACCCTTTCAGGAGGCGGGACCACAGGCAGCGAAACAGTTCACCTTAGCCTAATGACCACAAGTCGACCAGTTGGTCCGAGGGCATTACTTCGAATGTGCAAAGATGGAGGAGATTCTACAAGGCTGACAATGCGCATTTCACTGGACATCCATCTTAATTAACTCTCTAGATGACACGGATCAGCTCATGATCCCGCTGTACCTGTCTGAGCAGATGTGTCCATGCACCTGCCCTCTTCCTCACAAACAAATCATCCCCTAAAAAAAGACGAGTTCATGGCCAGGGCTCTGTTCCTCACCAGAGGAGTAGCCTTCCATCCTCACCAAGTGTGTAAACACAGTAGAAAGCTTTCACTGTAATCGGATCTGCCAGGGCCAGGACCAGAGTGAGGTGAACGAGGCGCCCGCTCTCGGGGCCACCCCGTGCCTTACCCTCGGGCCAGCCCTGCTCTTTGCACTCTATAAATACCAGTTTATCTTCTTCCCGAGCGCAAGTGTGGTTCCTCCAATAACTCCCTATCTGCCGTTGCACCAGATATCTTATTACCATCTCTTTTTCCACTGCTCTCAACCTTTGTATGCCTATACATCAGAGAGCCTTCAATATGATCAGAAGACATGGTTGATTTCCAAGCAACCTGCTCCGACTGGCAAGTCAGCCCCCATTTCGGTAGGGATGCAGACAGGGGCGGCCCTTCAGCAAGATCGTGGATAAGTTGGAGGCCTGCCACTGGGACCCTCTCTCTCCTCTTTCTGCTCCATGTTCCCCAGACCTTGGTTCCCAGAACCAACCCTCCTGAGTGCCTCTTCGTTTGTTCTCCTCACTCAGAAAAACATGCTCTCAGGAAAGAGATGAAGTCCTTTACTTGGACATTGTAAGGCTTAATGCTACCTTTTTTGAGGGTCACTTGCATTGTAACAGGGGAAAAGCCTTAAGCCAAAGGAATTGAAGTTCTACTTGTAGAATGTTAGGCACCGATTAGTTGCCGAAGTGTATTTTTCACCACGGAATGGCTAAATTCCCTGACCGCCAACTCCAGAAGACAGAAAATGCTGTAGTCTCCCGGAATTATTTTATCACATTGCCGGTGGTTGGCTACATAGGCCTGATCCCCAGTGCTGTCCTCTTGGACAAGGGACCAAGGGACCACATCTACCAAGAGACTCTCGGAAATGGCTCCCGGAAGGCCGAGATCCTCGCTATTGTACAGTGACGTTTTTACACGAATGGAAGTCATACTAATCATTTTAGTAAAAGAACACAAGGCGTTAGGGTTTGTGAGACTGTGTCCTGTTCGTGAAAGGTGAAACTGTCCAATCGATGTCTGATCAATGTCGGTCACCCGGTGTTGGTGGTGATTATTAAATTTCCCGGAGGTACAGCTTTACTGACCACAAGCCTCTGCTTCCCCTACCCTTATTTATGTTTTGTGCTATCACTTGCGCTTGGTGTGAGAGAGACCAGATCTCTGCCAGAGCACCCAGTCCCTCCGAAGCCTTTGCTTGTGTTTCAGCTTTAAGTCATGAAGATATTAGGGATCTAAGAGGACAGGAGAGTGGGAAAGAGGTACAAACAGCTGCCTCCGTCAAAGGGCAGCAAGAATTGTAATTTAAACAATGACATGAAATAAAGTTCTAGAATATTCTGAAACAGACTTATATAGGGATACAGTAGTAAATGGTTAGCGACAAATATTTGAGGCGCTTTTAATAAGTGTAACAAAAATACTTTTGCATAAGTAATGGGTTGTGTGAAATACGTATATATGTTTGTTCAGCAAAGCCCAAAATCGAGGCCAGTGGTTCTCAGAGTGTAATCTCGGAACCAGCAGCAGCAGCCGCAGCCCTGGGATATGTATGTGTGTGTGTGTGTGTGTGTGTGTGTGTGTTCCAGCGACGTTACTTCTTCAAGCCCCTGAATCACTGTAGCCACGACTGTCCAAATGGTTCCAGCCTTTCCCGTCGTTTCTTCTGTCCTTAGAGTGATCGGTGTCTGGCCAAGTGATGTATATTTTCGTGTTGGTCAGGTATACATTTGTCTGGTGTTAAGAAACAATCAGATTGAATCAACGTACTTACTTAACCTGCAAAACCCTTGATTTGACTTAGCCACGACATCTGACCTGTTCAGAGGTTTAAATTTTTTTTTTTTTTTTTGTAATTCACGAATAGGAAAAAGGAAGAAGTGTTCTGTTTGTTTGGTATTGCCAACCCTTAAATACCTATCTTCACCGTGGTGGCTGCTCTCGACGAGGGCTCCGATTTTAAGATTTTGCCTACATAGTGGAATTTGATATCAACAAATCCACCAACAAAATCTGAACTGGAACAGCCAGTTAACCCCTCTCAGCTTCTCCTTAATGCCAAGCTTTATAGGAACTTATTCCTCATGTGGTGTTCAGCTTTTTTTTTTATGTCCAGTTTTATAAGATGTTATGCATGCGGACGCAGCATTGTGCTCATTGTATAAGTCACACTGAACTCATTTCTTCCTCCGTATGTATGATGGTGATGAAATACCAGTCTGTATGTCCTGACTTCTCCCAATCAACTGTAAATGACAAATCTTTTCATTAATTTTTAAATGAGATATATTAACTCTGGCTAGTAGTTAAGATTTTATTCTTTTTATTATATTTCATTGCTACTCTTTTCTACGGACTCCAAAGCTTACTCTGGGGAATATTTCTTATTTCTAGGTTGTTGTATTTCTCTTATTTCTATATTTATCTGTAGTCACGGAATGTTAGAACTGAAAGGGACCAACCTCTCATTTCACACATGAGGTCCAGAAAGGTCAAATAACTTAAACGAGGTCATGTACACAGTAGGAGGGTCTGGCCTCAATCCCAGGTCTCCTGCCTCTGGGCCCAGTGTGTTTTCATTTAAAGGACTGCATTTAGAGAGGACCCACGGCTGGCTTCTACGACACATGAATTTCCCGGGTATTTCAGTGAACTAATTAGCTATGCTTTAAGGGAAAATGCTCAAGATTTCTTTAGTTGAATCTGAAGACAAATCTCATTTTCAATTTAGAAACATTCATTTCCCCTCCAAATTCAGTATATGTTCCCTACTTTGTTTTTCCTAAGAGATGTTTGAGAAATGAATTTTTGTAGATCAAATTCCACTTTCTGGTAGAGAAGCGTCCTATGTGGGGGAATCTTCTGGCGACTTCTTTTGAGAAACAAAAAATCCAATGTCCCCTAATATCTCTACTTCTTTTTAGTGTGAACTTTTGTAATTGGTATTTATTTAAAGTAGGGCAAACCAGTGTAGGCTTTCCTAGAATCTACTTTATCCTTCCCTTCTGAAACTTTATGAGATATTTTCAGACTGTCAGATGCTCATGAGATCCTTAGTTGTGTTCTAGAAACTTCACCTAACTTGATGTTATGTCAATCCCTGGGCTCAAACTCTATCTCCATCTTACCAGAAAATTACAGAATTCCCTAATCAGTACTGAGCTCTGCATGCATTCTCTTTTCTGGAACATTCTTTGCCTAGTGTGACTCTCTCTTTAGCTATTCTTGGGCTTCCTTCCATGGTTCATGCATACCTTACTATTCTGTGGAACTGCAGTCAGTGTCCCTTTAGGGCCATGCTAGTCACATGGAGTGGTATTTCCAGTTATTTCCATCGTTCCCTTGTTTCTACTGGACCTCCTCTGGTTTCCATTTTCAGGAGTGCTCAGAGATTGGTGGGGTCTTGACCCCGGGGGTTGACACGCTTTTTTGGCAAAGGGCCAGAGAGTAAGTACTTTAGGTTTTGGCGTCCACACGTGGTCTCTGTAGCGTATTCTTCTTTGTCGTTGTTTCTTTTTTTCTTCGTTTTACCGCACTTTAAAAATGTAGATACCATTCTTAGCTCTTGGGCCATAGAAAGCCCCAAGCTGGATTTGACCTGCTTGTCATAGTTTACTGACCCCTGGTCCAGACGGTCTTCTGGGACAGGCATTTCTGTGACTGGCCCCATGTGATAACTAAATTGTATGCTGGATGATGGGGCTCGCTACCCTCCCACCTACTTACTACGCTGTCACACCAGTCTGCACAGAAGTGGGTGGAAAAGGGCTGCATATGTCAACCCATGACTCTTTAATAGGGTGCTCTTCATCATGGTCTTTCTTTCTCTCTTTCTCCCTGTCTCTCTGACCCTCTGTCTCTCTCTCACTGACTACCTTGGTGTAGAAACCCTCATTCACATTTCCAGACCTTCTGTCTTGGTCATCCAATGTGCCTCTTCTTCCTCGAGTTTGGGGTAAACTGGCAGGGAAGAATGGATTTCTGACTTTTCTTATTTCTTTTGTCCCATCACTGGTCTCCCAAACTGTGGCTGGGCACCCCTGCCCTGGATCATCTGGCCTGCCTTGCCCCATATTGTCATTGTGAGTTTAAGGCTGTCTCTGGAAAGTCTGGTGGCCCAGGCCATGAGGTTCCAGTCCAGTCTATAATTTCCTAGGAAAATCACCAGACCTCTTGGTTCCCATGGTTGGTTTTAAAACCCAGAATATCCATGTGTCCATTCTCTATAATGCCATTTGGATCTGTTCTAGACTTATCCCCAGCAAGAAAACCAACGAGGTATAGAAAGTATTCTGTGCCCACAGTGTTTACGTGCCTAAACCCCCTGCCTCTTGGGCCCCCAGGCCCCAGGATGGACTCCTTGGGATGCCCCGTGCAGCACCACACGCAGCAAGCATGCGGCACACCACCGCCTCCTGTTCCTGAACCTTTTTTTTTTTTTAAGATTTTATTTATTTATTTGCCAGAGAGAGAGGGAGAGAGAGACAGAGAGCAAGTACAAGCAGGGGGAGCAGCAGAGGGGGCAGCAGAGGGAGAGGGAGCAGGGAGCCCGATGCGGGACTCGATCCCGGGACTCCAGGATCATGACCTGAGCCGAAGGCAGCCGCTTAACCCACTGAGCCACCCGGGGGTCCCTGCTTTCTGAACCTTTAAAAGGATTCCCTAGGGGCACCTGGCTGGCTCAGTGCATAGAGCATCTGACTTTTGATCTTGGGGTTGTGAGTTCAAGCCTCTTATCGGGCCTAGACCTTACTTTTAAAAAAAAAGAAGATTCCCTCAAGTTTCCTCACAACACTCTCCATCTCGCTCCCATCTCTACCTCTCATGCCACCTGGGAGTCTAAAGCTCAGATTCGCATTTTCACATTTGCTCATAGAAGCACTGAGGGGCATGACTGACGAGGGCGGGTGCCTGAGCGTGTGAGCGTGGTTTCTCCCCCGGGACTGTGAAGGCCCCCATTGACTAATGTCTCTCTCTCGCTCGCTCTCTCTCTCTCTCACACACGCACACGCACTCACTCCATCCAGTGTTCTCATCAGTTCTCTGGTCCAGGTCTACGTCTGGTCAAGGAGAAGGGGATGGTGTGCGGGTCTTGAGGCATTTCCTTTTTTCTTGTCTTTTGAAACCTTCTTTAGGCTGGTTTGTGCCGGCTTCTCTCAAGAAGCCATTTGAAGAAACTCCTCTGTGACAACTGTGGACAGGCTGACGTACAGAGCGCTAGGACTTTAATTCGATATGACCTCGGTCACTCAGACATACTTCTGAGGCTGCAGTTTTTCCTATCGAAGCAAATTGCCTCGAAGGACCTTTCGGCTTGCTTCCTGTCATTTGAGCCCAGGGATCTGCCCAGTTACTGAAAACTAAATTTTAAAAAGTCAGAGGCGTGAGTACCTTTCAGGATCTCCCTACGTGAAAACATCCGTGAAACAGTTCCTTTCTGCCTTTGGTTTAAGATTGCCAGACTGCATGGAGCACTGGGTGTTGTACACGAATAATGAATCGCGGAACACTGCATCAAAAGCTAATGATGTAATGTATGGTGACTAACATAACATCATAATAAAAAAATCAAAAAGAAGAAGATTGCCAGACTGAGGAGGGCAACCAGGCTTATGCCTTGAACTCTAAGACAGCGAAAGGGCTACACTTGCCAAAAGCAAAATGAGGAAGGAGGGTTGCCTAGTCCTACTGTGCATAAGTCAGCAGACTTTTCTTACGTTAGCGTGCAGGGCTTACGAAGTGCCAACAACGCGCTAAAGAAAAATAAGGGAGACAGGAATTTACAGACCAGTATCCTAAACTGGAAGGCGGAGATAGAGCCATTCCCCCAGTGATGAGACAGTGTCCCTGGATAAAAATTTCAAGAAGCAGCAGAAACTAGGAGAGATCATCATCCCAATCCTTTTTAGAATTCTAACACAAAATGGAAGGAAGCCCTCTGTGGGGTGATATGACAAAGGGTTTTCCTTGTCTTTCTTTTCTTTCTTTTCTTTCTTTTCTTTCTTTCTTTCTTTCTTTCTTTCTTTCTTTCTTTCTTTCTTTCTTTCTTTCTTCTTTCTTTCTTTCTTTCTTTCTTTCTTTCTTTCTTTCTTTCTTTCTTTCTTTCTGCATTCCATACTGGCTTGCTACCAGCAATTGAAGTGTATTCTTTATAAAGCTAGAGCTGTTTGTGTCTTCTCAGAATAAATTGTTTCTGTTAAAAATCATTTTCTGTTTCACCCTCTGGTTTTCATTGTAGCAGTGATGCCTTTATTCAGACACTAAGCCCAGGTCGCAAGCCTGTGTCACCGACTGCACAAGTGTGGGGCCCACACACAGAGGGGCTGATTCTCACAAACCCCTGAGAGCCCAAAGCCCATAATGCAGGACGTGGTGTCTTGCAGGCACCTGGCCCCCCCAGCGGTAAACCTAAGCTACCCAGGCAGGTAATTCGTGTTCAAGGACTTCGTCTCTGGGATTCAGATGCGACTGCTTATGGAAGCACCAAGGGGCCGAAGATGAGGCGGGGCTCTGGTGAAGTGGGCAGCCCGTTGCCAGGCTCCGGAGAGGAGGAGGTTGCCATAGCAACTGTACTCAGGGCACGCACTCCCTCTTTGTTCTCTGGCTCAATGAAGCCATCCAGCAGGGCAGACCAGAGTGAGTCTGGGCTGGGGGCAAAAAAAAAAAAAAAAAAAAAAACCACAAAAACACAGACCAGATGTGGTCCAGATCGCTTCCATCCCTCAAAAAAGGGTGTGATCCCACCATGCAAGTAGTGACAGCTATATTTCAGGGTCAACTCGCATCCGAAAGGAGCTTTGTTCTCTGTTCCCCACTGGCCCAAGCATGTAAAGCTGAGGCCCTTGCAGCCGACATCCTTGTCTCCCCAGGCCTTACGTTAGCTCATGTCCCCTGACAATACCAGGCTGTTCTTCCAAAAAGACACAACAGAGCTGGAAACAACCTAGAAGGCTCACAAGGGAAGGGAGAGGGGCCAAGGCAACTCTCAGAAAATGGTAGATGTTAGGATTTAAGATAAAGGCCAGAGACAGGCTGTCTTGAGATGGGCCTTGTGGCAAGCAGTACCTCAGTGGGACCCTGTGGTTCTGAGTCTAGTAGTCATCCTGGCAGGGTCAGGGCCCCCTTGTGCTACCAGATCTTGAATTGGGGAAGCTTTTTAGGGACTAACCCACACTGACCAAACTCACCAAAGACATGTCAAAGGCAGGGTATGGTATATTAATTGACCAAGAAGAGAACCCACTTTTAATTTTTTTTTTAATTTTATTTATTTATTTGAGAGAGAGAGAATGAGAGAG